GGGAGGGTAATTACGACTTTGAGATGTCCAGGAGGGCAGAAGAAAGAATAGACGGGCGAGGTATTCCCATCTGCAGGAGGAGCTGGCATGATAGAGTTCGGGGAGCCGAGGTGGATACGTGGATCATAAACCCTAGTGGTCAACCGGGCGGAGAGACGAGAAACGGGGTGCATTCGCGAAGGAGTGTTTCATGTCGGAGAGGAGGGGTTAAGGTCAGGAAAACGTTGACCTCTTCTCTCGCTCTGTTCTGCCATCTACGGCCATCTTCAGAGGGATTTGCGGGCGAAGAAGTTCCTCGTCGACTTCTACGAGAGTTTGGGAAGCGGCGGCCAGTAGCGCTCAACCCCCAAGGCTGAGGTAGAGGAAGCTCAGATGAGGCCTCGGATCGCACAGCATACTTATGCATAAAGTCGTGACCGAGCGGGGACTATTCGAGCTCACTGCTCGCTGTTGCGGGAGTAGGAGCGTCCGCCACATCATCCTACGTCTAGGTCGCCTTCCCTCGCGAGCCTTGGTGGAAGTTAATCTGGTAAGCATCTCTTCTCCTCCTCTCCTGCACCTCGGGCGGCCCTCTGCTCTCCTTTTCCTCCTACGGCTTCTCGCTCTCTGTTCCACGCCCCCTCCCCTTTCCCTTCATATTAAGAGATTAACTTCAGGACTCAGATGCTGCATCGCAAGTTCTGCCCTCTCATCTACATCGTTTACAGAGGAGAGACTGGGGGTAAGGTCAATCTTATCTTAGTTAGTCGTCGGCTCTAAAAGCCACGAGGGCGTGAACGAGGAGAAGACAAGTTGAGAGCGAGGAGGTTCGAGTTCGAGGAGGCGGGCTGGCGAATTATTACGCAGCTTCAACAGAAAGAGGAGGGTAGACGCATGGTGGTGAGGGTCGGGAGGGCAGAAGGAAGAATAGACGGGCCAGATGCTCCAGCAACAGGGGGAGCCGCCCAAACAGATCTTAGGGTGGCGAAGTGGAGACTATTTATCAACAGACTCTCGGCTTCTCCTCTCCTGCACCTCGGGTCGAGCCACTGCTCTCCCTTCCTCCTAAGATTTCTCTCCCATTTCAGCCCCTTCGGCTCTCCTCTCACAGGCGCTATGTTTAGGTCTCTGGTGAGGTGCCGCAGGTTCAGCTCACTCATCCACATCGAATACAGGAGAGAGTCTCCTGAGTAGCAGCGTGAATTAGATCTTTTCCCGACTCTCTTTTCTGGAAGATCGTTACTCTGCCCTAAGCGCCAAGTTTAACTAAGTATAGGGAGGTGGTATGAGGGATCCTCCGTCCCGAGGTCATATTAGCATTCAGCGGCAAACTCAAGCTCGGACGATTCTCTTTGGCGGTTTAGAAACTGGGGAAAGGGAGGGTGCATATGTTTGGCTTTACGTGGTTCGTTGCCTCCCGGATGCACGGTCAGTAGGATTGAAGAAGTTAAGTACTCTCCTGGGATTAGGGAGGATTCCAGAGGAACTATCGGGGGCGGCTCTCTAGGGAGGGAAGGTAAGCACTACGATGCTCCTACCGGCAAGTTCAAGGTCCGGATGATTTTCAATGGCTGTACATAGGTCGTGTGTAGCTCTCAGCTAAAGGGAATAGGTGAACCATGACTGGCAATCATACGGTTAGCATACTCCGGGAAATACAGCTCCTTCTTTCATCTTGTTTGGTCTGGTTGGGAAGGCCGGTTGGGGTCGGATCATAATCCCAATAACTCTCCTGCGTACTTCGCTCACCTCACTCTAGTGGAATCGCCGCTCATTCGAAATCTTGTCTAATCAAGAGCTCCTATTTTTTTCCCTACGCAAAGCAGGGCGGTTTAACTTCTACTCAGTTATACTTCCTTATCTATTGAACTCCCTGGTCTTCTTCCACTTGCAGATACCTGTTTTGGGTTTGGAATATGGGTGGCTGCTAGTAGAAATTTGGGTTCGAGCAGGTGGAGTTGAAAAGAAGGAAGGGGGTATGTTGTGCAGTTAGGGAGTGTGGGTGTGCTGATATGAGCCCTTTTTGGGGTTTGGCTGTCAGATTGGAAGTCAGGTGCGGGGCGATCGATTGTCTATTCTCGTAGCTATGAAACACCCGCGGACGCGTCCACGGGGCTGATCTCGGATGGCAGCCGCATATGTGGCCGCGTCCACGGCCGTCCTGGTCCGCGCCGCGGACCCGATTTTACCAGAATTTTCATGAATTAAATAATAGGTAAATATATATATGATGAGTCGGTGAAACTCCGACGAAACAGTTTGTCTCAGCCCCTCGTTTGTTGTCCTCTTCTCCCTCTCTGCCTACGGTTTACCGGGCAGTTCTATTTGATGATATATATGGGGTTGTAGGGAATTTTAAGCCCTACAACCCCATATTTGGTTTTTTGGAATCCGACTTTGTTTAGGATTTTTTTAAAATCAAAAACTAAATTGGATTTAAAGAATATATATATATAGGGTTCAGCCTCCTGATGAGTCGGTGAAACTCCGACGAAACAGTTTGTCACAGCCCCTCGTTTGTTGTCCTCTTCTCCCTCTCTGCCTACGGTTTACCGG